GTAAGGACACCATTTCCATCTACTAACTCTTACACCCCTTGGACAAATGAGGAACTATTTACACACTTCTACCATGCTCTTATGCTGGCACCTTGATTCACTTGAACCTAAACAGCATTCAGTACCGGTAAAAGAACTTGTTCACTTGCGATTCAGAATCACCACATTACGTTGGGATATCATGTAATCGGTATGCGATCCCTCAGCTCTTAGCCCCCTCCCTCCCCCAGAGGCACTGTAACGGCAGACTCGCGACTACTTCTTCGAGAGAATCACGTTATTTATACTGTTTCAGCCATTAATTGAGGCTTGGTCCACTATCAGCCCTGAGCGCATGCGCGGGGTTGTCAGGTGTTAGACCAATGGTTAGGCTTCAACCCCCATCCCCTCCCCTATATATTTCGACCGACTGCCTCTTATACGAGCTCAGCTAATCGAGAAGACGCTTCGCCGTAAGTACCTCATTAGTGAAACCGAAATTTGCCACCAACTGGGTGCAAGGAAGAATATTTTCATGAATATGAACTATATGACATATACTTGGATTTACAAGGACATGGCAATTCAGTACTAGTCAAGTAGTCATTGTTACAGTTATGTTTCTGTAGGTGACCGGAAAGAAGCTTCTTCCAAAGCTGGAATCCTGACGTCACGGAAATAGCTAGCAATTATGCTACATAATAATTAGTATTTAAACCCCACTCAAGTAATATTTTTAATCGAAAACACCTTTTAGAGTTTCGGTTTAAATTTTATGCAATAGCATATCTACTGTACGTCTTCGTTTTTCAGTTCATATTCTGCTATTATATCAGCTAACTCCTTATTCACCGAAGTCGTGCAGAATTTGAAGACGGAATTATTCTGTCTGAATTATACCTTGCCCTTGTATTGTCAGCCAGTCTTCCAATTCGTTGTTTGTAAGTAGATAGGTGACGCGTTTCCTGCGCCAAATGAAGGATACTCTAGCCTCCGTGGATGCACACACCTGCATATGTGTAACCAGGCGACGTACGTGCTCGATCCAATCTTCCCTACCCAGCCTCGTTGGTAGGGGACTTGTTGAGAGGGTGCACATTTTGGATTGTTTATCTTACGTTTGCTGGCGACGAGCAAATTATTTCGTTTGCACAGTACGACAGATTCCTTTTTCTGCAGGAACGAATCCATGATAACTATGAAAGTGGCTTTGAGAAAGAAACTTTCTCTTTATTGTGAAACCTGCTGAGAGGTCTCATTTAAGAATAAAAGCCTTAGATATTAAAAGGGGATTGATTGATTTTTTGACCTATAGCGTTCAACAAGACTTCATGCCCTAAAATATTCGAACTACTCCTAAAAATTATGATGAATTCAATAGAGGGAGAAACTTATTGTAGTCACGAGTTGCCCACTGGCACAACTGGTGGTGCCCCGGCGCAATTTTTTTTTACCAGAAATCGCTATAGCACGTTAACAAAGCACACCAGAAATATTTTTGGCGCGTGCATGTTTGCAACCCCAAAAACCTGATCCTTTCTACAGATCTGCAGGCCATCTAAGGATTTATACTAACGTGTAAGTAGCTTCGGGTCACAGCTTCGAATGTTGCTCTTTTAAATCCGAAAAAGTCCGGACCCTTGCCTGATATCAACCTGCACTCCCACCCCATTTGCAAAGTCGCCTTCAGTTACACACGCAAAACGCCTTTTAGACAACGGTTTTCTTCTCCATTTGCAATTTCATCAGGAGTTGAAAGTTTACTCATACAGGGCCCAATTGCGATGATTGCACTTCTACACCCGTTTCGATGTTTTGACTATAGGAATTTTTTTAGTAGTTTTTGGCCGATGACCTTAAGTTTTTGCTGTTGCAGTTTTACCACACGGGTCTGTCAGATGGCAGGAATTCGTGACGTCAAATTAAGGTATTAAATTTTAATGCTTTATCGAATGAGAAAAAAATGCCTCACATCAGTCCGTTGACGGTTGAGTGCTGCCTTCCCACGGAAAATTTCAGGGCACGACTATCAAAGCCAGTAAAATGACTGCGTAAAGCCTCCTATTTTTATCCGCCACTAAGACCGTAAGGACTCATATTTCAGAGTTTGTCAGTGTCAATTTCTTTCCTTGTTCAAATGCTGCGGATGACTCAACATTCACCTGTGTAGTTTTTTTGTCCTAAACGGCTCTTTTCTTGAGAGGTTTTGTAAGCGTTGAAATATACAGTAGGCGTCCTATCTCGCAACATGATAATCAAAATTCTGAAGTGTGTTTTTGATTCAAGAAGGATCTTCTATGTAAGACTGTAATAGTAATGATCGTGCAGCATAATCCCCAGATATTGCCGTCATTTCAGGATGCCGGCTTTTGATCGAGCTGCGTTCCCGTTACCTGCAAAACCGCCTACTCACAGAAGATGCCGGGTTTTTCACAAATGCTTCAAATGCCTTATTGAAATCCACTAAAGCCAGCTCTTACCGAAGTGGCTCTGGTAAACATCTGGTGGATTCTGGGTTAAATGCTTGGGAAGACCTCCTCGGACACCCAGCTAACTGATTAAAAATTGAGAGGTTCAATATGCTGCAGTTCACTGGGTGGTACCTTGACCCGAGTGCGGCCCCGTATGTCAGATAGTTAAAACGTTTTCTTGTCCTCAAGCCTTACCTTTGCTTTCAGGTTTTCGAATTCCACCGACACCGGAGAGATTTTATCCATTTGGGTCGTACTGATTTCCAAAGTACCAGTGGTACGACAGAAACGAATATGCGAGTTCCAGGAAGCAGTTCAGAAGTAGAAAATGTGATCGCTGGAACAAGAAGTTTATTTGCCTGACGTTTCGGTTTCTATCGAGAACCCTTAATCATAGGAAATCGTAGAGTAATGTGATACATGCACAGAGTAGGGTCATATATGGACAGATTGCTCAATATTAATATGCGAAAAAATTCGAGTTCCAGATAGAATATTCCTTACATCACCCCCGGAAGAGGAAGAATAAGAAGAGACGATTTCTGAGACCAAGGTGTATTTTGGTTAACGTTTCAAAAGCGTGCTCGCTTCCATCGTCAGAGCGTGGTGTCTGTACTCCTGTTCGCGTCAGATAAATGGGAACGACCATTCGCCTTGCTGCCCATGTGTCAACCGATTGCACCGATCGATTTCTGTGGCTGTTTGAATTGCTCGTGCCCTCGCGGGCGTCTTTATGAGCTGTGTCAAGTTGTTTTTGTGTCTCATGAGCGTTTCCACCTTCCTTGCTCGCAGCTACCGGCCGTCGGCCCTGCTTATCTTTCTCCGTCCGACTTATTGCTCCGTCCTGAGCCGACGTTAGCCTTCTGCGGAGCGCTTGGTAGGCGGGATGAAGGTCCATGGCTCTGTTTACTGTGCCAATCGAGGACCAACTTTCTGGCAACAATCTGGCCATCTTGCCGTTGGCTCGGCCTATTACCTTCGCTTTTTCAAAGGCGAATGTGTAGTTCTTCTGCTTTACGTAGTCATAGACCAAAGACAGCTTATCCTCGCGGTTGATTGCGAGCTGATGCTCA